CTTAAAAATAAAGGCAAAATAGGTATTTCAAGTTACTTTTTTTAACCAACAAATTAGTGCTTATATATGAAAATCAGATTAAATGTGATAAAAACTAACATGAGTTAATACCATATAGAGTCCTCCGAGTATAGTGGTTTTGTCACGTTTAGTCCTAAACTTTCAAATTACCACTCATGGTCATTCGACTTTCAAATTGTTACCATATGCGGTTCAAGTTAACCACTCATGGTCCTTCAACTATAAAACTTTAACCACCCATGGTCCTTCCAAGAGGACCGCGGCTGGTTAAATTTTGAAAGTTGAAGGACTATGGGTGATTAATTTAGACTACGGATGGTAATAATTTGAAAGTCGAAGGATCATGGGTGATAATTTGAAAATTTAGGACTAAACATGGCAAAATCACTATACTCGGAGGACCCTAGATGGTATTAACTCAAACTAACATTATTTGCAAATATTATAATTATAATTTTAAGCTAATATTATTAATTAATTAAGATGTAAACACAAATTTAGTAGACCATTTACAAATATTATAATTACTCGTATAATTAGGGCTCAAGATTAGTGGAGGTCCATACAAAAAGACTTGGTCCAAACATGGGATACTTTCCATATAGGAGGGAAGCCCAACCCAACAAAAATTGATCCAAATGATGATTTAGCTTAGATGGTTAGGTCTCGCAAATTATGCCATGGAATCGTGTTCACCGAGAATGGTGAACACAAGGCAAAACGACGTCGTTTTTAGGCCAAAAAAAAAAAAAATTCGCGGATGTGGAGTTAACGGCGCGCGTTTGATCAAATTATAAATTTTCTGTTATGAGATTATGAATTTTATGAAAATTCATAATCTCATAACAGAAAATTCATAATCGCATAACAGAAAATTCATAATCTCACAACTGAAAATTCATAATCTCATAACAGAAAATTCATAATCTTATAACAGAAAATTCATAATCTCATGGTTCCAAAGTGAATGTGTAGGCATGGTTCCAAAGTGAATGTGCAGGCATGGATTCATAATTTATGAATGTCCGTGATTTCGGACGGGAATATGTAGGCATGGTTCCAAAGTGAATGTGCAGGCATGAATTCATAATTTATGAATGTCCGAAATTATGAATGTAATGAAAATTCATAATCTCATAACAGAAAATTCATAATCGCATAACAGAAAATTCATAATCTCATAACTGAAAATTCATAATCTCATAACAGAAAATTCATAATCTCATGGTTCCAAAGTGAATGTGTAGGCATGGTTCCAAAGTGAATGTGCAGCCATGGATTCATAATTTATGAATGTCCGTGATTTCGGACGGGAATGTGTAGGCATGGTTCCAAAGTGAATGTGCAGGCATGAATTCATAATTTATGAATGTCCGAAATCTTTGTTCACCTCAAATTAAAGTGAAACTGCAAAATGTGAAAATAAAGAAGAAAAGTCACGCAATTAAAAAAAAAAAAAAAAAAAAAAAAAAAAAAAAAGATAACGGTGTACTAACACCGTTAGAGCCGTGTTCACCATGAATGGTGAACACGGTTCCATGGCATAACGTCTGGTTAGGTCGATGTTGGCAAATTATTGCATGGACCATGGTCTACACAATTGTGTGGGTCATGAATATCAAATACATTTTTAATATATTAAAGTACATTATTTTTGTACTGAAGGTACATTATTTTTGTACTGAAGATACATTATATAAAATAATGTACCCTTAGTATATTAAAAATGTATTTTTTAAAAATGTATCTTACGTATATAAATAATGTACTCTTAGTATATTAAAAATGTATCTTTTATTTATGGTCCACGCAATTTGTGTGGACCATGGTCCATGCAATAATGATTGGTCAAAGTTAGTGTGTCAAGTGTCCTAGAATTGAATCTTGAGGGCATTTTTTTTCTAAATTTTATTTTTTTGGCCTTTTTGAATATTAACAATGAGATTATAATTGTGATTTATGAGATTAATTTATAATTCTAATTTGATTCTTTATATGTATCATTGGGCATTTTCTTTTAAATATTAATAGTGAGATGAGTGATTTATAATGTAATTTCTATTTGAACTATGTTTTTGTTTTGAATATTTTTTATCGCGTTTTAATGCTTTTTTTTTTTATCCCTAGTCAACAATACTTATGGCTCGGCCTCTAAGTGTTTCATTTTGTTTTTCTTTCACCTGCACTTAAAAAAAATTCTAGATCCGCCCTTATTTATACTCGACTCATCTCACAATTAAAGACTCGTAAAATGGTCTTCCATAAGAATCACTGTATTTCTAAATAAACAATATTATATCTACTCTTATAACATTCTTCTCTCTAATGAGATGTCATACCCTTGACGAATGTTATTCTCACATCTATGATTTTCCTTCGCAAATATATATATATATAATACATGGAAGTCCGAAAAATTGTAGAAAGTCTACGTATACATTGAACCAGAAAGATCAGATGACAAAAGGTGAGTTGTATTCTAGATGTCTAGTGGGAAGTAAAATATAGAAAAACAAGTAAAGAAAGTTGGTTGGGGTACGGTTGCCCCCTTGGTCAGATGAATTAATTATATTGTAAACCAGGAAATGCCATATATATGAGATACACGAAAATGATAATTTGTAAAAATAGAAAAAATTAATTGGATATATAATTTTTAATTTCATAAATAATTAAATTATATTGTAAGCGGTGACGTGCAGCTGATCGACCAATGGTTGCTGTGAGCTGGAAAATGGTGGTTGGAATGAAGGAATTAGGGGAGAAAAGAATTGTAATTCGGTGGGAAAATAATAAGGTGGAATAAAGTAGGAATTCAAATTACAGTGTTTGGTATGCAAGAATAGGATTACAGGAAATTGAAGGGGAATAAATGATACAATGACTGAAATGCCCTTATATAATAATAATAATAATAATATTATTATTATTATTATTATTATTATTGTATCATAATAGCAACAAACCTCAATTACAACAACCACTCACACTGAATAAAACATCAAATTATATTATTGTCATTTTACACAATTCAACGCTGTTGCCTTGCGGAAGAGAACAGATAACAAGGGCAAACATGTCTTTACATCTCCAATTCAATGTTGAATTACAATTCATAGGGGTGAGTCAAGAATTGTAATTCAACAAAAGGAGGGAATTGCAATTCCCTCCAACCAAACAACGTAATTTAGGATTTCAATGAATTGTAATTCAATTACAACGAAATTACGGTCAACCAAACAACCCCTTAAATAAACAAGTCAAGAAAGTTGGCTGGGAGCCTGGGATACGTTGCCCCCTTTGACCACAGACTTATTTTATTATTTTTTTTATGAATTTTATTATTAATAATATTTAATATCGCCGCTTGATAATTTTTTTTTTTTTTGAATACTCTAACTTGTCAATAGTATTTGTTAAAGAAATTTTATATATATATATATATATATATATATATATATATATATATATATATATATACACACACACACACATACTCCGATTGAAATTAGATTCAAACTTAAGACCTTATGAAAAATAATAATGATGTCATCAAATAATCTCATTAATTAATTATTATATTGGAAACCAGGAAACGGCATATTAGATACACGAAAATGATAATTTTTTAAAATATTTTTTAAAAATTAATGGGATATATAATAAATAAGGACTTTTATTTTTTTTGAAAGCTACCGGTTCTATTACATTGTAGTATCTGTTCATATACTTTCTCAACCTACTGAAACACAAAGAACCAATAACACCTCCACTGAGGCTTGAACTCATAATTTTCCAAATGGAAGTCCAACCCGGTACCATTAGACCACATAAGGACTTTTATTTAATTTGTTTCAGAAAAATAAAAAAGAACTTTTTAAATTAATATTTTTTTTGGTTTGACCACATATTTTCTTGACGAGTTAATAATAAAGATCAAATTGAGTAGGACTTCAAATGATAACAAAATACTCCTTTTGAGAATCTTACTTTTTTTTTTTTTTTTTTTTTTTTTCAATTCGACTTTTGAATGTGCCTTGAAACACATTTTGGCATTGTTTGGTAAATGACTTTTAGCTGATTCGGTTAAAGTATATGACTAGTTGATAATATTAGCTGATGGTAGAAAGGTGATTGGTAAATTAGCTATTAGCTTTGATATAATTTCATTTCTCAAAAAGCTAATTGAAAAAGTTATTTTGAACAACTTTTTAAATTTTAGCATTTTGGAGTTATAAAAAGTTAATTAACCAAACACTTATATTTATTTTTAACCAAGTTAAATAATTAATAATGATCAAATAAGTCCAAATTAATCGATAAGTTAACTATTTTATGAAACAGGGCCTCTTTTTTATTATTATTATTATTATTATTATTATTATTATTATTATTATTATTATTATTATTACAAAGTTTATTTTTTATTGTTGACTTCAAAATCAATGATATTTTATATCTAGCTTTTAAAAAAAAATTGCATTACTTTTTATATTCCAATAAAAATCAAATTTTCTAGCACGTTCAGTGAGGGGCTAATTAATTGAAAAATTTGTTCCATCTCAACAAAAGTACCTAAATTGATAATTGCATTACACATTTTTATTATTATTATATATATATATATATATATATATATATATATATATATATATATATATTATTCAATACATCTCTCCATATAAACATAGTCTTCAACTCATATGTTATCAAATTGAAGAATATGTTTTATTATTTTAACTGAACATCTAAGTTGATAGTCAAATTACATATTTGTATTTATTTATTATGGTTGGTGGGTACCAAAAAAAAAAAAAAATTATAGAGAGAGAATCAAACAAAGTTAATTTCATAATTAACTACTCCGTAGAAACTAGAAAGCAATTAAGCATATAGAATATATATACTCAGAGAGGAGAAGTCAAATTCAAATTAAAAGTTCTTATTCCAGCAGTTCACGCACTACTATAAATGGTACCTATAACAAGAGAAACAAATAGGCAAACACACAACACATACACATACACATACATAGAGATAGAAAGAGATATATATATAGAGAGAGAGAGAGAGATGGAAGTTGTTGAAGTGCTTCACATGAATGCAGGAAATGGAGACGACAGTTATGCCAACAATTCCCAATTCCAGGTAAGGGGTGTGCACAATTCGGTGAAAGATTGGTTAACCGTCATAATCAAAAAATTCGGCTAACTGTTTTTTAACCGAAATATTTTGATTCAGTTAATGATTGAAAATTAGTTTATTTGGTTCGAAAGTATCGGTTAATCGAATTAAAATTTTAAGTATATTTAATTTCTTTTACTGATTTGGACAGGAAAAGGCCATAGTTATGGCAAAGAAAATAACAGAAGAAGCCATAACAGACGTGTATAAAAGCCTTAGCCCAAAAACAGTACACATCGCCGACTTGGGGTGTTCCTCCGGGCCAAACACGTTGATGGAAGCCGGCGAGCTAGTGAAAGCGTTCGAGAAAGCGCGCAGAAAGATGGGACACCAGTCGCCGGAATATGCTGTATACTTGAATGACCTTCCCGGAAATGATTTCAACTCCACTTTCCGGGCACTGCCGCAGCACCAAGAAGATTTCAAGAAAGAAATGGGCCAAGGGTTTGGACCGTGCTTCTTCGCCGGAGTTGCGGGTTCCTTCTACGGAAGGCTTTTTCCGGCCAACTCTCTGCATTTTGTTCATTCATCTATTAGTCTTCATTGGCTGTCTCAGGTATATTATTATATGTTTTCCTTAAAGTCCCTTATTAGACTTTGAATTGTATTTTTCTTTCAATATTTTATTATTATATTTTGACAAACAATTCTAACATATCTTTGACCCAAAACACCAAATTCTGCACCAAATTGGATATTCATAGCATATTCTTACACTGATTTTTTCATCTAAAACTCATTTACACTAAATTTTATTCCTACACTAAAATAATTTATATTTTCATAAAAAAGTTTATATTTATATTTTTATTATTTTAATATAACATGTAGTTGTAATTTAATGTAATTTAATTAAACTTTAATTATGTTTTATGTATTTTATTTTTAATTAAATTCTATTCAATATTAATCTTGTTTTAATCGTTTTGATGAGATTTTTTAAATGATATACTTTTTTAATAATATACAATTTATGTTTAAATATTTAACAAAATATGTACATATAAAAAAAACAAAACAAAACAAAAAGGATACATAAGAAATTATTTAAAAAAAAAAAAAAAGATCAAGAACAAAATAGGGACAAAAGGGAAATAAGTTTATGCACCAAAAATGGCCTAGGATGAATAGTGCGCCAAATATGGTGCTCCATTGTTCATGCTACACCAAAATTTTGGTGCTATGTCGCGTTCATTGGAGCTGAAGAACGGCATATTTTCCTCCAATTTAGCGCTTTGTTGGAGATGGTCTAAATAAATATTAAATTTGTTTTATTTTTTGAAATCTTGGACTATATAGTATATTGCATTAGTTATTTATTAGATTAATTGATCATCAGGTACCTAAAGGATTAGAGGAGAACAAAGGCAACATTCGTGTTGCAGCTTCAAGCCCACCTAGTGTGGTAAAGGCATATCATGAGCAATTTGAGTGCGATTTTTCAACTTTTTTGAAATGTCGCGCAAAAGAATTAGTAACCGGTGGTCGAATGGTATTATATTTTCTTGGACGAAGGTGTGAAGACCACATTTCTAGCTACAATAATGTTCTCAACACTTGGGAATTTTTAGCCAAGGTCCTCAATAATCTTAGTGCAGAGGTAAGCACTTCTCTGGTCATTCTTTCTAAACTCCACTCCTATGACTAACTGATCGAGTTGCCTATATGGGCTGGTTCTAAACATTAACTATGTTATGATGAATGCAGGGAGTAATAGATGAGGAAAAGGTAAATTCATTCAACCTTCCTATGTACAGAGCATCTCCGAATGAAGTGAAAAAGGTGGTTGAAAAGGAAGGGTCATTCTGTATTGAATATTTGGAGAATTTCATGTATGATCTTGAAAATGAAAAACACATTATTAAGGACATTGGGAACTTCGTTGTCAATAGTTTCAGAGCTGTGTTTGAGCCCATAGTTGCTGGCCACTTTGGTGAAGGAATCGTTGAGGAGATTTTCAAGAGGCAAAAGACCTTGATTTTGGAGTCCATTCATGATTTAGACAAGGTGGAATTCTTTAATGTTGTCTCCATGACCAAAAAGTAATTACATATTCATTATTCTTACTATTTTTCTTCTTCAAAATACTACCAACTGACTTGAGCTAAGTCTACCTACTGACGTGAGCTAAGTCCGTGCTGGCATTCTTACTGTTTTTTCCCGGTACTTACTACCCCAGCTAGCCCTACAGTAGTGAAAAGGGGATGAATAAACAATGCCTTTTTTTTTTTTTTTTTTTTTTAATTTAAACGAGTTTAATGTAATACAATGGTGTTTTAATTATGTATGATAATATAAAAGTAAACATGTTTGTTTCTTTTCATGTTAATTTTTATAAGTGATTTTGCCAAGTCAACATTATGATTGAATTGTTACATTTTTCTGACTACTGTTATTAAGTTTGTAGATATTTATTATATCACCTCAACTAACTCACTCGTGTCACCATTTACTACATAACAATCCCCCTCTAACATACCAACAAACCACCATTATATCCAACTAACTATTATTGTAAACCATCAAAATATAATATTTTGAATGAAAGAATTAATACTTTTACATCAAAATATAAAAGTATTACATCTGTCATCAAAAGTATTATGTTTTTCTCTTATAAGTAATAAATATTTTATTCCTAATTTAGTATTACATTTACTAGCGTAAGTATTACATTTACATATTGACATGCCCAGACATATCTCACAGATAAAGATTCGTGAGACGGTCTCACACAAATGTGACCCATAATTAAATAAGTATTTATTTATAACTTACATCATCACTTCAAGAACTATGTAGGTGTCATGTTATCCATTTTTTAAATGGTTGATTGATGTTGATAAAGGTAATTAATACATACATAACTTGCAAGCTATTTTACCGTCCATATGTATCCATCATATATTTTTTAATATTCTTTAATGATAATAAAATTTATAGACATTATATATTGAATTATTATAATAAATAAATTTAATTTCATATAGATTTTAATTAGTAAATTTTTTTTTAGTTAATTTAAAAAATATAAATATTAGGCATATGTTTTTGCGCATTCTAATAGAAATAGACTAGTATTATATATAAACATCTATCTCGATCCGCTGCGGTGTTTGCTTTCAAGTTTCAAATATCAACCTGCATGATATTATATTTCAGATCCATTTGCCAACATAACGAAACATTTTACGCATATATATATATATATATATATATATATATATATATATATATATATATATATATATATATATATATATAAACTTCCCTGGTTTCCCTCTCTCTGTTCTGATCTCCTCTCGTTTTGGGTAAGGTTGTGGTTTGGTCGATCTCGAAAAACAAACGTAGGAAATAGAAATTATGGGACAGCAGACGTTGATCTACAGCTTCGTGGCGCGCGGGACGGTGATCCTAGCGGAGTACACGGAGTTCACCGGAAACTTCACCGGCGTCGCCGCCCAATGCCTCCAGAAACTCCCTGAGTCAAGCAACAGGTTCACCTACAATTGCGATGCCCACACCTTCAACTACCTCGTCGATAACGGTTTCAGTATGCATGTCTTCCTTAATTTGCATTTTCAATTCCTCTGTTTTTTTTTTTGTGTTTTAAATGTGAAATGCGAAAGAATTGAAGCGTATTGGGTTTCGATCAATTTCAAGGATGGATCTGTGTTTGAATAATAATAATGGAATTGTAACCTAGCTTGTATATACACGCAATATATAACACGCTGCAACGTACGTGTTGTATTGTTGTGAATTAATCTATATTTCACAACAAGCAAGATCAGAGTTCAAATCTGAGCCTTCTTGGTTTGATCAGTCGGTCGCTTATCGGGTGACGTAGAGATTCGAACCGATAACCTTTGGTCTAAATTGCACATTAATGGTTATATGTTCAACAGTTAAGAACGTAACCCAAGCTAAGGTTTAATGTTTTTGAATTGATGTGCAGCCTACTGTATTGTTGCTGCTGAATCTGCTGGAAGGAACCTCCCTATTGGGTTCTTAGAGCGTGTAAAGGATGATTTTTACAAGAAATATGGTAAAGGGAAAGGCGCTACTGCAGGTGCCAATAGCCTAAAAAAGGAATATGGGTATGGTAGCTTCGATCCATCAATTCCATCCCTTTCTCTTTATTTTCTTTTCTCACCTCACCATTAAACCTTACTTTAATTTTCCACTCTGATCTCTACGACATACATACAGACCGAAACTGAAAGAACACATGAGGTATTGCGCTCAACATCCAGATGAAATTGACAAGCTTGCTAAGGTCAAGTCTCAGGTTAATGAAGTCAAGGGAGTGATGATGGAAAATATTGAAAAGGTAATTTAATTAAGGAAACTTTATAAGATTATGCATAGATAGATAGATATTCAGCTGCTTATACGTTTTTATTTGGTGCTCATCAGGTTCTTGACCGTGGTGAGAAGATTGAGCTTTTAGTAGACAAAACAGATGATCTTCGGTCACAGGTTAGTTTATGCAGCCTGCATGCATGCACATATGTTGTATCATAGCCTCTTGACTGATCACTTTAAAGTCTTGCTCTAGCTGTAATGTGAGGTTTTCAATTCGAATCCCACTAAAAACCTGGGGTCAATGAGAGACAAGGCCTTGTTTGGTAAAAAATTGGCTTATAGGCCCATTTTGACTTATTTGACCACTATTAATTGTTTGATTTAGTTAAAATATCAATATAAATGTTTGGTTAATTAGCTTTTTGCAACTCCAAATGGCTAAAATTCAAAAAGCTACTCCCAAACAACTTTTTCAATTAGCTTTTGAGAAAAGAAATTATACCAAACGGCTATTAGATAACAACTAATTTACCAAACACTTTTTTACAATTAGCTAATGTTATTAACTATTTATACCCTCTAATTAACACAATCAGCTAACAACTAACAACTAATAGCTAACAGTCATTTTACCAAACAGGGCCTTTGAACCCTAGCTTGCTCCAACTGCAGTGTGGGGGGTCCGTATCCCACTAAAAACCAGGAGAGTCATTGGAAGACCTAGACCCCAACTGCAGTGCGGGAGGTTCGAAGTCCACTGGAAACCTAGGGAGGTTATTGGGAGACCTAGACCCCAGCTGTAGTGTAGAGGATTAGAATCGCAGAGGAAACGTAGAGGTTATTGGGAGACCTAGCTAGATACCTTGTGCGCAAAGCAGGGACGGAGGCAGAGGGGGGGCAGGGGGGTCAACTGCCCCCCCTAACCCCACCCCATATATAATATGTATATGTATATATGTATATATAGTATATATTTTAGTATTAGTATAAAAAAAAAACTAGTAAATTTCAACACGTAAGGAGTTAGATTAGTTGGTAGAGCATATTTGTGGTAATAAGAAAGGTTTTGGGTTCGAAACCTTGCATTAGCATATTTTGTCCTTCCCCTATGGCTTTAACACATTTACTTTTTTAATATTTAACACACACACACATTCTTTTATATTAATAGTGATATGTATAATTTATAATGTGTTTTCTATTCAAATTATTTTATTAAATTACAATTATATTTCTTAAGTAATGGTTATAAAAAAAAAAATTCTTAGGTAATTTATTTATTTTTTAAAATTATATCTTTTGTTTTAATGTTTCGCTTTTACTGGAAAAAATTTCTGAATCCGTCCTACTTCGCCCCCCTCAATCGAATTTCTGGCTCCGTCCCTGGCGCAAAGTGTAAATCTTTGTGCGCATAGTGTAGTGATTAGTCTAGCGTAAGCTGAGAAACTTAATGTATGAATAGTATATATGAATGTTACTTTGTGTATGTACACATTGATGTGTGCAGGCACAAGATTTCCGGAAGCAAGGGACGAAGATTAAGCAGAAGATGTGGTACGAAAATATGAAGATAAAATTGGTTGTGGCCTTTATCGTTGCAGTCTTGGTTCTTTTGATCATCCTGGCTATCTGTCCTCATTTCAAATGCTGATGGCATCTATCCATTGAAGCAGCGAGCTGGGCAGTGTTATAGTAGTTTTTTTGCACACAGATTAGATATATATGGTGCTATATTATATTCTTTAGCACAGAAGAGGTAGCTAGGCATATATCATGATAAATTCTTCTTTCGGAGTCAGCGTTATATATATAGGTTTTAAGGATAGCAAGTTGTTTCAATTCCTTTTGAATGATGTTTTGTTGTATTCATGACATTATAAGAAGCCTTATGAAATGTTCAATTGGTAGTCCATCTTATCAGCAGTAATAAGCCTTTTTCCTCTCGTATAGGCAAAACTGTAACCTTGAGACTTAATCGCACTTTTTTTTTTTTAGGATCAATGACGGAGGGACGACGCCCCAAAAACCTTACCTAAACCTACACATCCACCTACGGCCCATGCGGTCTTCCTCATTAATCAAGTGTCTCACTTGACTAATATTAAATTTTCTATGATCCAATTGTCAATGAGCTAAAATCACTATAATAGAGTCTCATAGTTTAAATGAATTTTAAAAATTACGCTAAGAGTAATACTATACATATTTCAAGGTAATAATTTCACTCAATATAATGTATTATAACTACTAACTAATTGTTTAACCAAAGGAGTTGCATGTGACTTAACAATCAGTCAATCACAACACATCATATAATGTTGAAGGGGGATAAACTTAACTAATAATAAATAAATATGAAACTTTGTAGCACCCATCATAAGCTAGTAATATCATTTTATACAAAAATTTTGTATAAATAAATAACATACTCAGTTCCTCACCAAAACTAACAAACAAACATTTGGTAGCCTCGAAATGGGTGGTCGAGTAGTAGAGCATGATCTTCACAGAAGAAAATTACGACATCTGATCTTTCGGTTAAACTCGTCCCACGTACAATATCTCTTAGTCAGGGCCGGCCCTGGGGCAAGGGCAGGCTGGGCCCTTGCCCAGGGCCCATGCTTGGAGGAGGGCCTCATCCTATCTTTTATATATATAATATATATATATTGAGTATAAGTAATTTATATACATATGTTTTATAGTAAAGTGAATTAGTTTGATTGGTAAGATATTTGAATTTTAATCTCATTTAATCAAAGGCCAGTGATCCAATCCTTCCCTTTAGAATTTTTAATGTAGTTTTTAAATATATAAATTTTCATATATTTATGCTAAACATATTATGAAATTTTTTTATATTAAACTTTTAATCCAGTTTTTAAATTTATAAATTTTTATATACTTATACTAAACATATTATGAAATTTGAATTTAAAAAAAAAAAAAAAAAAAACTTCAATCAACTCATGTTAACCAAACAAGACACCTAAAAATAGGACAGAGGGGGTTATATGATATATTTTGAGATAATGAGATTGAATTAAAAAAATAATTAAAAGATAATTTACTCCGTACCTTTTTATGAATATCTAATCAATGTAATATAGAACCTTCTATCATGTGTCATTGTATTCAAATTATTCTAAAAAAAAATTTGAAATTTATCTATTTAAAAGAAAAAGTATTTATAAAAATCATATAAATAATATAAAAGATGTGTGATTTATAATATGCTTTATGTTCAAACTATTTTATCTAGATAATTATGTTTCATATCTTTTTGTATTTTTTTTATTGCTATTGAAATATTTTAATTTCTTACTCCTAGTCAAAAAATGATTTTTAGCTTCACATATGTTTGTAATTATTGTTTTATAAATTTTTAATAATAATTAATTTATTATTTATTATTTATTATGATAACAATGTTATTGTTTATGAGTTTACTCGATTTTAAATTATTTATTCATTTTTATAAATTATAATATTATTTATTTATGAAGGCACTTATACGATTATTTATTATTTTGCATTAAGGAAAGCACCTAGAATTTTTTCATGATTATTGCTGTGTATGTAAAATTGTTAAAAACTTGTTAATCTTATTTAAAGTTATTGATATTAATAATATTTTTATTATTTAATTTAAATTTTAGGCATGAAATACATACTAATCGGGGCCCATTTTTTTTATCCTGCCCCGGGCCTATAAAATATTAGGACCGGCCCTGTCTTAGTGTTACACATTTACAGGCTAATTTCCTTTTTTCACCCAACAAACAAAACATTTGGTTTATTGATTAAATAATTAGTACGTAAGTGTAGATTGAATCATAGGATCCACCATAATTTAAGGAGAAATGTTCAAAAAAAAAAAAAAAAAAAAAAAAAAAGTTAGAAAAACTCCCTTCTCCACAAAATGCACTCTTTAATCCCATGCTTTTAGGCCTCTCCCACTCCCCTACAAATATTCAACTAACTCCCTTCCCCTTATATAATTATTACACAGAAAAAAAAAAAAAACAAAAAAGTTTCAATTTGAAAAGCATGGCTTTTGCCGCTATGGTTAGTTAGTTAACTCAAATGCATTTATTTTAGATGAAGAAAAATTGTTTGATTTGATGTTTTTGTAAAGAAATTCAATTGTAAATACGAATATGATGAATTGAGATAGATGCGTTTTTGAATTGTGATTGCAGAAGCAGTGGAGAACTTTGATGAATGCCGCCGCCGTCGGCGGCGGCGGGAAGCGACAGTTTGCGTCTTCCACCGCCTCCCAACATAACAAGCCCAAATCATGGTATGAGGTATCTCTTTGGTGATTTAGCAACGTTCTCATAACCTAATTTCAGTGATTTGAAAAATTTGTTTTGGATGTATTGAGGTACTCGTCGGGAGATGCGATGCCGATTTGGCTGCTGGCCGGATTCACAACGATGGCGTTAGGTATGGCCGTTCACACGGCGAAGAATCAGCTGTTTCACGCGCCGTCGGTGTCGGTGAAGAAGACGATGAGAGAGAATATGGTGGAAGTGGAGGATCCCCAAACGGCGGTGAATGGCGCTGACAAATACGTCAGCAACTCTTTCCTGAGAAAGGTTAGCCGGATCCAGGACCCGGAAACCCGAGTTCTGCAGGACCCGACCCGACCTGATCCTTTCACCATTCCACGCAAGTACGAGTCTCTAGAATCTGCTGGGGTTCGAAAGTGAGCTGATGATGATGATGAAGAAGAAGAATAAGATCAGAGACCCATCGGCCATCGTATCAATCAAGCTTCGCAAATTTTGAAATTAAGGAGGAAAGCGTTGTATATTTATCGACCTTTAATGCTTTTATTTAAAATATAGAAAAATAAGCTACAATTGTAGTAGAATATATTATTATTGTTTTTTTTTTTTTAATTCTTTGATTGAGCTAGTTTAGGAAGTGTTGCGCATGGTTAGTGATTGAATAATTTATAAATAAAATTTTCTTTTCTAAAAATAAATTCTCATGATTCTTTACAAGGAAGTATCTGTTTCACGGGAACCTATATATGATATATAACTAGTATTGCATTTTATCCAAATGGTATTATATATACATAATAGAATTTGCCAACAAACCATTAGGAATATAATGGCACAGAAGTGCATTTTTTTCTGTTTGGCTCATCCTAAAAGTCTTAGAAAATTAAAGGATTCTGCAGAATTCTATTTACAAAAGATAAAACAACAATTCCCAGGAAGGAATTGCTACTCCTTAGCTTGATCATAAAGATTAGATCAAATAAACTCTCAGGAACAGGTTTCAGATTCCAGCAACTCCAGCATTCTCTCGCAAGCCAATCTCTTGGCAGTCTTTCGATTGCGAGCAGAGGACGAGCAACTGCGAACACCGCCATTTGCCATGACCTCAATCGTCGTACATGCCTCGCCATCTTTGTGAACCACAACAGGCTCCTTCATCCTGTACTTTCTCTTTTGGCATAGCTCGGTCAGCTCTTTTACGGGGTTAAGTCTCAGGGACTCGGGTGTAACCATGGGCTCCAAAACCGGTCTTATTTTCTCAAAAACTATGTCTGTTCTCAAACCCGAATCGAGATATATTGCCCCCGCTATAGATTCTATGATATCAGCAAGAACCTGTGTTATTCCCAGAAAAAAAAAGGCTTTTTAATGAACATCTAAACATCTCACTAAGGAATTATCTCAGAAATAAAGCACAATTTACCCATGGGAAACTTGTCTTGAGCACCCATCCAAATGTTGATGAGGCTGATGACTGCTCGATATTCTTAACAAAATCAGCTATACTGCTCCGAAGAGCAGTGGACGAGTGAAGAATATAGTTATGCAACCCAGCCTTAACCGAGGATAGAGCATAGCAGGCGTTGTTCACTGATTCAGACCTCAGCTCGGTTAAGCATCCCGGGGATAGTCCGGGATACTGATCATAGAAATGCCTGGTAACGGCATAATCTAGCACAGCGTCCCCGAGAAACTCCAAACGCTGCCCAACGAGCCAATCAATCATTCAGCTAGCTACTCGTGTTGGGTATATAATATATAAACATAAATGTGCAATCCAACTATCAGCTTAGACTTTTAGTTGAACTGACTCGTGTTGTGTATATAATATATACACATAAATGTGCAATCCAACTATCAGCTTAGACTTTTAGTTGAACTGGACATTACCTGGTAAGATTGAGTTCCATGTGGAATGTAAGAGCCATGAGTCAATGCTTCAACAAGCAGAGAAGGATCGCGAAATGTATAATTCAACAACGAATCAGACTCCAAACGTTTGACGTTAACCATCTGCTCTGCATTCAAGGGAAAGTTCCCAACGATGGGCGCATCGATAAAATCAATATCTAGACCGAGCCACCTGAGAAATGATAGAGCTGCTATTTCTCCAGCCGTACTAAGAAATGCACCGATTAGTGCTTCAGTTACATCAGCAATTGTTTCATTATCCATTTTTCTTCTTCCCCTACTGTACAGTTTTCCTGAAGTTAATACACACTCCTCATCCAGTTTGCTGTCTATGGAATAATCACCCGGCCCGACCCATGTTTTAGGATCGAATTGTTCATCACGAATAAACCCCTGCAATTCGAAGGCAATAATGGCAATGGAAATTGTCAAAAAAACGCTTAATCCAGCACCAGGTGGCTAGGGGAATTGTTGGACGGAGGCCTAAAGGGTCAAGTCCAGCACCCTGCCTCTCGAAAGTAAAGTTGCTGTATAAGGAAATAAAGTTGCGCCTTCGCTACTAGCTATAGTTTTTGGCCTAATAGAAGAGAAAGTTGTAACTCTTACCGGAATCTTTCGGTTATATGCAAGCTTGTATAACTGAGAATTGGAAATCATTCCCTTTCTTTTAGCAGTAAGCAGCCCCTCCTGATCATTTGGATAGGTTTTGAATAGATGTTGACTGGTAGCATATTTGAGAAAAGAATCTCCTAAAGTCTCTAAAGACTCCATACAATCCTTTTCTTGGCACAAATTCGTTGTGATTGCTTCCAAAATCTAACACCAAAAAGAAATAAAGTCGGAACAATCTCCAAAGGGCTCTCGATAATGTGGCAATATAAGGAAATAAAGTTGCCCCTTCACTAAACGTACCGTGGAGGTTGGAACAACAACGTTTCGAGTGCACTGGTCCATGAACATTCTTTTGAAGCAGGAAGCGACGAGCAAGGACTCGAATCGATGCATGATTGAGGGAAGACATGAGAAAGAATAGAATGTAGATATCGGCACGGGAGACATGATAACCTCACAAAGTTCGGGAGGCAATTCTACTGACGCATCTACAAACAATAAAATTGTTGATTAGAATCGTTTAAACGAACTGTAAAATAAACCAAAAATTTCAGGATTGTTACCTGATCTGGCTTTCCTAGCTTCGCCTCTACTAAGATAGTTTTGCACTTTAGGAATGTGTTTACCATTTAGAAGCAGTTCTGTTTCGAAGCATAACTCAACACCATGCCTGCAAATCAGCAGCGTTTTCGGGATTTAACAATTTTGCAGTACAGACTACAGATAATCAAAATTTACCGAATAAAACTTACTTTTCCTTATAGTACTCTTTGTATGTAATGGATCCTTTCCTTCCCATCTTAAGACTCGAGCTACCATCCAAATGATCGAAAATGCCCACAATGCAATAGAGATTGCCATTATGAGGCGTCGATACCAAAGAGCTTTCCAACAGGCAACTGAAAAGCAAACCGTTCTTTGTGTGCATTGGCCTGCAACCATGTCTAGAACTACAAGAATCTGAATGCCTATGTTCCGGTTTTTGGTACGAAAATAACACCGAGGAAATAATGTTCCAATCGATCTTTGGAACATCACTCGGGTCCATCGATGATGGGAGAAGGAGATAATCAATAACTGCAGAACCATCAACCAGATTTAATCTGCCCAATGCTTCGTCGAGTGTATTCAGATTATGCTCGAATAAAACTCTAAGAACAGTTACTTGAAACCTCCGACACCTAAGTATCTGCAAAACAAGTTTGATGATCAAAGAATTCATTCTAACTTAAAAAGTAGAAAATATTATTACTCACTTGTTCGTTAGATAGTCCAACATCCCCAATGTACACTGTCTGGCCTACCCAGTTGCCTCCCTCAATGTTCAACTCAAAAGACAAATTCTCGTCATCAGATTCAAGCCTTGTCCTCAAAGCAAGGATTATGTTTTGAAGCTGAGTTCTCTTATAATAGTACCGGTTAAGCTCAATGAGGTAGCAAGAGTATAATGTTTGAGGAGCATTGTCTCTAGTACCAACAAGTTCAGGTGGGAAGTACTTTGGTTGACATCCTATATGTAAAGGTTGAATTGGATGAAAAGTTAACAAATTAAACATTTTGTTCAAAACAGTAGGCGACAAAACTGTTGAAAACACTTGACACAACTGTTAGGATCAGGCGCTTAACAGTGTGTCAAAGAGCTATAACTAGTAATGAAAGGCGCAACTTTATTTTCTTATACTGTCACATTTTCAAGAGGCAGGATGCTGTACTTGGCCCTTCTAACCTCCGTCCAACAATCCTCCTAGCCACCATGCTCAACTTAGCCCTTCATTGGCCTCCGCCCAACAACAACTATACATAGACTACCAAATTAAAGAAAAACACTAAATTGCTAATAATTTTTCTTTACTTTAAGGGAAAATCATAGTTTTTGTCCCTTAATTGTTCCCCAACTGTCAATGTAGTCCATAGTTTTCAATTTCAACCAATTTGATCATCGAATTGTTTAAAATTTCCTCAATTAAACCATTTTAGGGACCAAATTGACGAAATTTTAAAAATGTAAAAATCACCATTTTGGTTCCTAGAGGGTTTTAATTGACGAAATTTTAAACAATTCAAGAATCAAATTGGTTGAAATTAATTGAAAATTAAGGGCTACATTGACAGTTATAATTGAGGGACCAAAATGGTAATTAACTTTTACTTCAATTATTAATATATAATGTCCATTGCATTAAGAAAACCCAGTTCTTAGAAATCCCAATTCTATTTCAAAACCTTTTCATTCTTTACCTTCAAACAATAGTTATGTACATGAGAAAAATTAAACAAAACAATACAAAAAGTAGTACTTTCTTAGCATTAAATTAAATTTTCATTTAAAAAAAAAAAAAAAAAAAAAAAAAAAAAACATTCCTTCCTTGCAAAGTTGGTTTCATCATTCTCTTGTCCACAACTCAAACCTACCAAGAGAACCCCAAACTCCAAAAAAAAAAAAAAAAAAAAAAAAATTTACCTAATTCTTGATATGGAGGAGGATCTGATTGGAGCCCTGTTGATCCAGTGGTGGCCATATCAAATCTCTGCATCCAGACATCCAGTACTATATCTTTCACTCTTTGGTGGATAGATATGCACATAGAAGTTATAGATCCACACAAATCCATAAATAAATAAATAAACAGAAAACAGACTGAAATATATATCCAAATGCCAATTCTTGGCAGAGATCCCAACTAGAGGAAGGAAAAAAGAAAAGAAATAGGCAACAGTGGGTACATACCAAATTAAAGTTGGATTCTTGTTTCTTGATCAGTTATATGCTTTTGTAGAGGTTTAAGATTTTCATTGTAAAGCTTACAGACTAAGGAAAATCCTGATTCCAAGCTTTTCTTGTACACTTATAAGCTACTCCGTACTATATTAGTCAGCTGTACAAATTTAGTTCAGTAAACTTCATATCAGCACATTAAAGAGCAGAATGGAATTGGAAACTTCATATCAGCAATAGTACATTCACGTGTCGTACAATGATTGGTTTAATATTAAAAAAACCACTATTTTTTTTTTTTGGAGTAAAAAACCACTATTTCTATTCACTCAGTTTTCTATAGTCAATATATAAAATATACTTCCTCTATTCCATTTTATATGTCTACTACTTCTGTTGATGAAGACTGAAGTTATTTTTAATTCTTACCTCAAAGTTATTTTTAATTCTATTTTTATAATAGTAATATTTGGTAACATAGTTAGCTTATCAACTAATTTTGACTTATTTGACCATTATTAACTGCTTGACTTAGTTAAACATTCAATGTAAGTGTTTGATTAATTAGCTTTTTGTAACAACTTAATGTTCCAAAATGCAAAAATTCAAAAAGCTGCTTAAATTAACTTTTTCGATAATTTTTTTGCAAAAGTAATTTTGCATGTAATCAACTATCAGCTAACAATTAATATACCAAACAACTTTCTACAATCAGCTAATGCTATCAACTAGTCAAACCTACTAACCCAATCAGCTAACAACTAAAAACTATTTACTAAACACCACCAATATTAAATTTAGTCTTAGTATACAAAATGTAATATATTTAGAAACTACACTAAAAATAGGGGTGTGCTCAGGTGAGAACAGATACCTAGGAAAGACCTAAGGACCAATCGCAGTTGTCCATGTGTCCAGATTTAACGGATCAGATGTAATTTAAAAAAAAAAAAAAAAAAAAAAGACGCGGTGACATTTTCATAAATAACTCGAACTTTAGTATAAGTAACATGTGTTAAAAGTGCAAGTGGTGTAAGTGTCCAAGTAAAAACTACAAATAAAAATCACTTAAAAGTGCAATCATTTTCACTTTTTAGTAAAGTAATTTACATTTTTAACATTTGTACACATACTAATAACGTCTTTCACATTGGTGCAACTAATAATGTAACTGCCACTTTCATGCGCAAATATGTGATTAAGTAGTACAAAATTCAACTAATTAATAAAACAACTACTCTCATGCAGTGTCTTTTTGTGTATTTGCAATCCCTAAGTTATTAAATGAAAGCACATTATATATTAACTACAAATTGTAGTAAACACATAATTTATTGAAAGCACATAATATATTAACTACAAATTGTTTTGGACCAAAATTCACAATGCAAGGTAAACTTTAGTCCATCCATAACAATTAAACTCAATCCTAAGTTGGCCAGTTTCCTCATAACTAAAGGAAATAAAATCATGTACCCATATGAATTTTTCTAGACAAATGGGTACATGAGGTATCTTTGAATTTGCCAACAAATCATTATGAGAATGTCACAAAATTGATTTTTCTGTTTGGCTCATCCTAAAAGCCTTAGCAAAGGATTCTGCAGAATTCCACTTACAAAAGACAACAATTCCCAGGAATAGCAACTCCTTGATCATAAAACTTTTGACCAAATTCTCAGGTTTCTGCAGGTTCCAGCAACTTCAGTACACTCTTGCATGCCAATCTCATGGCTGTCTTCTTGCTCCGAGCAGAGGACGAGCCCCTGTGAACGGCGCCATTTGCCACGACCTCAAGCGTGATATACGCCTCGCCATTTTTGTAAGTCTCAACGGGCGCCTCCATCCTGTACTTTCTCTTTTGGCATAGTTCGGTCAGCTCTTTTACAGGATTAAGCCTCAAGGACTCGGGTGTAACCATGGGCTCCAAAAGCGGTCTTATTTTCTCAAAAACTACGTCTGCTTTGAGACCAGAATCGAGATATATCGCCCCCGCTATAGACTCTAGAATATCCCCAAGAACCTGTGCTATTCCCAGAATAGAATTATCCCACAAGTGTATGGCAATTGGCTAGCAGAAGATATATATGAACAACTTAATTAATTACCTTTGGGAAACTTGTCTCGAGCTCCCATCCAAACGTCGATGAGGCTGAGGACTGCTCGATATCCTGAACAGCGTTGGATATAAGGATCTGAAGGGCAGTGGAAGAGTGAAGAATATGGTTATGCAACCCGGCCTTAACCAAGGATAGAGCATAGCAGGTGTTGTTCACTGATGCTGACCTCAGCTCGGTTAAGCATCCCGGGGATAGCCCGGGATACTTGTCATATAGATGCCCCGTGATGGCATAATCTAGCACAGCGTCCCCAAGAAACTCCAAACGCTGCACAACGAGCCCCCGTGTTAACCCTCCATACTTTTTCCAATCATATATATATAATGTTCGAGAAATCATCAGACATTATTGACAATAGATATTACCTGGTACGATTGAATTCCAGGTAGAACGTAAGAACCATGAGTCAGTGCTTCAACCAGCAGAGAAGGATCGCGAAATGTATAGTTCAACAACGAATCAGACTCCAAACGTTTTATGTCAACCAGCTTCTCTGCATTCACAGGGAAGTTCCTAGCAACGGGCACGTTGATCAAATCGATATCTAGACCGAGCCACTTCATAAACGATAGAGCTGCTATTTCTCCAACGCTTTTAAGAAATGCACCTATTAGTGCCTCAGTTACATCAGCAATCGTTTTATTCTTCATGTTTCGTTTTCCCCAACTGTATAGTTTTCCCGAAGTTAACACACACTCCTTATCCAGTTTGTTTTCTATGGAACAATCACCCGGAACAACCCACGTTTTAGGATCGAATTGTTCATTACGAATAAACCACTGCAATTCGAAGCAAATGGCAATGAAATTTGTTAAAGAATGCTTAATAACAACTTTGAACTCAACCAAAATAAATCAACAAAGAATCAAATTTAGTGATCAATCGAGTAGTGACCAAGAACACAGAATGCAGTCAGGAAATTCTTACCGGGATCTTACAGTTACATCCAAGCTTGTATAACAGAGAATTGGAAACCATTCTCTCTCTTTTAGCGGTAAGAAGACCCTCGGGATCATTTGGATAGGTTTTGAATACATGTCGACTGCTAGCATATTTGAGAAAAGAGTCTCCTAAAGTCTCTAGAGACTCCAAATGAAAATTTTCTTGGCACATATTCGTTGTAATTGCTTCCAAAATCTATCAGTAAAAGTAAAGAGTTATAATATATCAGACATAACTAGCATTTGCCAAAGATCCTCAGTGTCGAAAAATTTATAGGCTTGAAGAACATTAAGGCATTAATTGTAGATTAATAAAAGCTCATACCTTAGAGGTTGGAATAACAGCACTTTTAGGACAGTGGTGTGTGCACATTTTTTTCAAGCGGGAAGCGATGAGCAAGGACTCGAACCGATGCATGATTGAGGGAACACATAAGAAAGAATAGAACATAGCAATTGGCACGGGCGACATGATAACATCACAGAGTTCCGGGGGCAATTCTACCGACGAAGCACTTGATTCTGCAAATAAGAATGCAACGAGTAATAAATGTGCAGTCCAACTATCAGCTTAGACTTTTAGTTCAGATAGAACATATGCTTCAATTTGGTATCAGTGGTACTAAAAAAACGATAGCTACCTCTTATCTTCCGAGCTTCACCTCTATGAAGATAATTTTGCACCATAGGAATGTGTTTACCATTTAGAAACGGTTCTGTTTCGAAGCATAACTCAACACCATGCCTGCAATCACCAGTGTTTTCGGGATGTAAGATCTCTTTTCTGTACATAAAACAACATTTATGAAATACGTTACGTACTTTTTCTTATAGTACTCTTTGTATGTAATGGATTCTTTCCCTCCCGTCTTAAGACTCGAGCTACCATCCAAATTATCGAGAATGCCCACAATGCAATAGATATGGCCATTATGAGGCGTCCATACCAAAGAGTTTTCCAACAGGCAACTGAAAAGCAAACCGTTCTTCGTGTGCATTGGTCTGCAACCATGTCTAGAACAAGAATGTGAATGCTTATCTTCGGGGTTTTGATATGAAAATAACGCAGACGAAATAATTTTCCAATCAATCAACGGGTCATCAGCCGGACCAATAGACGGGAGAAGGAGATAATCAATAACCGCAGAACCATCATCAACACGATTGAACCCGCCCAATGCTTCATCTAGTTTGTTCAGATTACGGTCAAGTAGAACTCGAAAAACAGTTACTTGAAACCTCTGACACCTATGTATCTGCAAAACAAGAAAGTCGACTTAAGGACATCATTTTCAACTGCTAAACAATATATTATTATCACTCACCTCTTCATTAGATAGTCCAACATCCCCAATGTACACTATCTGACCTTCCCAGCTGCCTCCATCAACTTTCAACTCAAAAGACAATTTCTCGTCATCGGATTCGAGCCTCGTCCTCAAAGCAAGGATGATGTTTTGAAGTTGTGTCTTCTTATAACAGTACTTATCAAGCTCAATGAGGTAGCAAGAGTACGATGTTTTAGGACCATTGTCTCTGCTACCAACAAATTCAGGTGGGAGGTACTTCGGTTGACATCCTATATGCAGAGAATTAGACTAAAAGTTAACAAAAATAAACAAATTTTTGTTCAAAACAATAGGCAACAAACTGTTGAAAACACTCAACATAACCACACAGACAATTGAAACATGTGTTCCATCTCAACTAAAAGCCTAAGCACATTAATGGTTATATGCTCAACACAGACTGGCAAAGAAAAACACAAAATTGCTAATGCACTGGCACATAGTCAAAACTTCATGAGAATTTTACTTTATTTCAATTATTATATGTCCTTTGCATTTCAAAATTTCAGAGTTCTTAGAAATCCCAATTCTATTCAAAAACTGATAGGATCAAGTACTAACCACGCCAAAAGCTATAGCTACCGAACACACAACTTTATTTTCTTATACACAGCTTCATTTGACCTTGTTCTGATACCACCATTTAGGATCAAACGCTTACAATTATGCCAAAAACTACAGTTAGTAACAAAATCCCAACTTTATTTCCTTATATACCGCTACACTTTCAAGACGAGGGTGCTGGACTTTGCCCACCGCCCAACAAT